CTTTGATTTGTCATTTAAAATACCAGTATAAACTGATGATTTTTGAAAACATGTTTCCTAGCTCTGCTCACTGAAAGGAGCCTAGAAGCTGAGAAACCTTAGTAACAGTACATATAACACCTTGCACCCAAATCTTAATTTATAAATATCACTTTCTATCAGAAAAAAGTGGGGCTTTTTGGAGAAATAGGAAAATACGAAAAACAAGTAACAAAAATATGAGAAGGACCTGGGTTATTTTGTTTTTCCAAAAACCAAGAAAGCCCTCAACGATTAATTAGCCTCAGTCAAAAAGGACATGAGAGCCAGCTCAAAGAGGGGCTCACACTGGCCAAATCTGGGACAACTTAAGCATCAAAAACAATAACTACAATTGACTAACATATTTAAAAAAAAATAGTAATGTTCCAAAAACTAAGAGAAAACAGAAAAACCTAATACTCTTTGAAAACAATGTCAGTCATTAAAGAAAAAAAGGCCATAGAACTGGTCCTGATTAAAGACCAAAGAGATACAATTAAATACAATGTTCAATTCTAGACTAGATTCTAAACTGCAGGGGCAAAAAACTCTACAAGGGATGTTACTGGGACAACTGGAGAAATCTGAATATGAAATCTGCATATTAGATAAATCGTATTAGTGTTAAATGTATAGAACTTGTTAATACTGTGGGTATTTAAGAGAATGGTGTTCCTAGTGGAAAGGTGCATGGTGTCTGTAAATGACTCCAGATGGTTCAGAAAAAAATCTATGGGATAGGGAGAAAGGAAGAGACAGAGAGAGAGGGCCAATGTGACAAAATGGTAACTGGTGAACAGGGATGGAAGAGTGCAAGAGAGTTCTCTATACTATTATTCCATTTCTTCTGTATGTTTATATTTATTTCAAAAATTTAAAGTTGAAAACATGAAGGAGGGCGACAGAGAAAGCAGCTAATAATGTAAACAAATAATAGAACTATGAGAATTAAGAAAATTCATTCATTCAATTTTTATAATCCCCAACCAAACAACTAGGCCAACAATCATCAATCATTAGGTGTCAGGGGAAAATGTACCTTTTCAGCGAAGAAATCTGGTGGACACCACACTAACCCAGTAAACTCAGCACTGGAAACACTGGGGCAAACTAACATCTGGCAAGCCCCAACACATTACTGATGGCTTGGTCATCACTAGAAACAGGAGAACCAGACATTCTGTCCTTCCTACTGTAATGCAACGCAAATTATCTATCATCCATCACTTATGCAGTATTTTTGCCAAAATATTTGATCCAAATTTAATCAAACCTCTCCATATCTAACTTCCAATCTACAGAAAGTTTTAAAAATAGAGAAACAAGTTAAATGACATTTTAAGCATTCAGTAAGAAAATCCCAAATTGGACCATTCTTTAAAAAGTCCATGCCAGTGACTTAATGCTGTCTTAGGCATAATAATGATACTGTGTTTCTTATATGGTCTTAGCTGGAAGCTAATTTGCAAAAAAAAAAAGATATAAAGTGCAGGAAAATGACATTATTTTAAAGAGATTCATCCTGAAGTATTTAGAGGACAATCATATGATATCTGCATTTAATTTCAGCTGGTTGTTGAGGGGAGAGGTATACTGAGAGCTTAAGTAAAATAGTTAAATGTTAGTAACAGATAAACCTAAATGAAAGCTTACAGGTGTTCACTGTGTCCCTCTTTCGACTTTTCTGGATGTTTGCATTTTCTCATAACATATAAAGATAGAAAAAAGGTTACCAGAATATCCCACATATGAAAAAGGGGAAATTGCTCCTTAAAAGCATCTTACTGAGACAGTAAACAGATCAAGCGCCTATAACAAACTCAGCCTTAACGCACAACTGCGCAGCTGTCAATCCACCCAAGGACCAGCTTGAAACCCAGAAGGCATAGTACCAGGCACTACAGGACACAAAGTAACAGAAAGCAGTCACAAAGCTGTAAATAAACAAAAAGTCACCGAAGATCTCATTAATGGGATGGGGCTTAGCTGGATTTTGAGGAGTGGACAGGACACGCGTAGTCTGAAAAGTGGGAGACAGGCAAAGAGGTCATAAGAGCGTGCCAAGGAGCAGAAATAAACCAGCACTGTGTGAAATATGGATCCCAATAGAGTCATGAGGAGAATTTTGTAGAAAATTCATTCATCCCTCAGTTTTATGATGCCTGGGTTTTATGAATACAAAAATCAAGGCACTACAGAACCTGCCTTCAAAGAGCTAACAGAGTAGTGAGAAGATACTACTCTAATCAAAATACATTAAGTAGAGATATATACAAAATTATTTAGTAACACAGGGAAAGGAGTAGTTACCAGTAGAACAAGATTATCAGTAAGTTTTCAACAAAGATACCTGAATTAATTTTTAAAAAGTGAAAACGGGAAAGGTAAGAATGGGCAAAATGAAGGAAAGGGGTCAAAAGGTATAAACTGTCCAATTCTAAAATAAATAAGTCATGTAGATGTAACACACAGCATGGTGACCACAATTAGTAACACTATATTGCACATTTAAAAGTTTCTAAGTGAGTAGATCTTAAAAGTTCTCATCACAAGAAAAAGAAATTTGTTAACTATGTATGGTGATGGACTTACTGTGGTAATCATCTCGTAATATATACTAATATCAAATCATTATGTTGTACACCTGAAACTAGTAAGATGTTACATGTAAACTGCACCTCAATAAAAAAAAAATGACTTCAAGTCACAGAAAGTAAAATGACAAAATTTACTAAATGCATACGATGTACTAGACACATTCTTTCACCTTTGAGATAAACATTATAATTAACATTTTTATATACAAGGAAACTGAAGTTCAGAGAGTATAATGGACCAAATGCAAAAAAGCTAGTTACTGGTGAGCCTGACATTCAAAGCTAGGTCTGTATACTGCTAAAACCCATGTCCTTTCCAATACAACCCAGCTCTGGGAATTTATAAGCACTGAAATTACGAATATAAGGTACAAAACGAACATTAAGTCAGCCACTCTACCAGAAAACACTAAAATGTTCTAGAGTCAGAAAGGATGAGAGTAACATGCCTAAGATTTTCCAATGATATTATCTACTTAAGAGTCTCGGAGAAACTTTCACTGTTTCAACAGAAAAACAGAATTAACATCTCTTAAAAGCAAAAGTTTCAACACAAATAAAATCCTGGAATAATGTCTGGCAGAAAAGTAGAACAATCAGGAATCTTAAACAACAAATCTAGAATGCTTAAACAACTGCTAAGTTTATGACATTTAATTAAATACACTTCGATAATGAAGATTTCTAATCTACAGGCTCCAACCAATTAATACCAATTTATCTAAAAGTCCTGTTGTCTTAGTAAGCAACCTCAAAAGGATTACATACTTCCTTAAGTGAGAAATTTTCACTAATATCTCCAATATATTTGTTATAAAACTTTACCTGACTTTCTATTCTGAAACATGAAACAGTTTAAACTTCAGCAATAATCAAATAACATTTTTCCCAAAGTAATGTAAGAAGTATACGGACTTGTTACCTAGCGAAGAGAGCTCTGAATAAGCACCTTAAGTGGCTCCTTAAAAGTACAATTAAAGCCTTAGGTCAGGATAAAACTGATGGCAAAATCTCTCTTTTTAATATTTTTCACCAGCCAAAGAACGCAAGTTAAGCCATCAACCTCTATTTTTTCCTAAAGCACTGTGCTGTAAAACCAACTTTCTTCCAAAATTCTTCCCATAAATACAGAAAGATAAGGTCTTTCCACAAATTTCAAAACACGCTGATTACGGAATTTCAAGCCTCAGCACAAACTCAAATGGACACAGCATGTTACTTCTAGGCAAGGAAACCAATTAAAAAGTACGAAAGCATTTTACGGTAATAAAAGGTGGGTGTCAAATGCAGTTAAGATTAGGAAAACAAAAATGCCATAGGGGAACAATTAACATGTTTCTTTTTAACTAAGAGTCTCCAAAAGTTTTCTTTGAATTAAAAAGTTCAACCACTGCATCACGTTCACAGGCAAAAAATACTGCGTGCACTAGATATCCACAGTGCGCTTTAAAGTCAACTCACTGCTCCCAAGAGGTATTCCTATCAACACTGGCTTTTTGTAAATACTCTACAGTCTTCCAAAGTTCCCAGTCAACTTAATGTCATCTGTGTAGAAATTACTTCAAAACATTCTTAACAGGCTTTCTAAAAGTAATCCGTACTTTTCTGATTTGATTTAAACAGGTCCAATTACGGAATTCCCTAAAGACCCGCCTCCTTCTCTCTCCGGAAGGGCCACCAACCACAAGGGTTACAACAAAGTATCAACACTTTTTCTTTAAAAAAAAGAATGCTTTCTAAGATCCTAAATATCTAGTTGCCAGACGGCAACTTAAAATTAGAGATGTGCTGGGAGTTACTAGAGACACATGCAGGGAGCATGATCTTAAACAAAATAGCAACAGAACTATTCCAAAGGAGCGGGGTTTTTATTTAGACTGTCAAGCTGTGGACCCATCCCTGTTAAAATTGTCGACTTCCAGCCACGATAATTACGAGGCTAAACCTTCCGCTGTTTGGCCGGTTTCGCATTAACTAACTTCCCGTGACCCCTCCAACCAACCACTCAAAGCCACACTCCATTCAGCTCTCGGCCCATCCCTCCCCTCCCGTCCCAAATTTCAGTTTAACGCGCTTTCCTCCTCTAAACTTCAGTTTTATCCGTGGCCTACCCTCCCTACGTCTTCTTGTTGCCACCGGTTCCCAGGCAGGGCCTCAGTCCTTCCATGGCCTCCTTTCCCGATCCGCCTCAAGCCTCCAGCCCCCTCCCCGAAGGCCCGAACCCGCCTCAAAGAGCCTCCGGACGTCGATTCTCCCCGCTCTTCCAGCCTGTCCCCAGGCGCCCCTCCGGGCCCCCAAAGCACGCAACGGCCGAGCTTGAAAATGGCGGAGAGTGCCGCCGCCTGCTGCTGGGGAGCGGTCCCGTGCCACCGCCGCACTCACCCTCTGGCGCTGAGCAGAGCTCCTAATGGATGGCGAGCGAAGTGTTCGTCTTCGCCGTTGGGAATGTCTCTCCTGTCTGGCCTCCTCCCTCCGCCCCTCAATCCCACTCCTCCAAAAGAGTAGCCGCCATCTTCCCTATGAGCCACCGAGCGCACGTCCTGCGTCATCACGCCCCGGCGTACGCTACGACGTCACGCGCGCCAGAGTCGCCGGGCTCCGTAGGACTCGGTCTGCGCATGTGTATAGGTGAGGGGCGGGGCCTGGCCGGAACCCCGCGCGGCTCGGTTGAGCGGCTCTTTGTTCCAGCTGAGGGGAGGTTGGCGCTGCGTGGGGAGGAAGGTGGCCTCAAGTTGGGAGTTAAGCCTGATGCTCTCAAAAATACCCCGTTTAACAAAATTTGAATAAAAGATTTGTTTGAATAAGAAATTTGGTGGCAGTGCTGCAGTTGCTAAATATTCATCCGTGAAACTAGGACTCCTGCCTGACAATATTTCGAGAATTTGAAAGAAGTCACGGAGCTGAGTCAAGCACAAGATTTGAGTTTGCTCATTACCTGATGTCTCTAGGTTATCTCCTTTCCTCACTCAACGTGGAGACCAAGTTACAAAAACAGCAGTAGGGTACAACCTCCTTGGAAAACGGTTTCAACTGCGTCTACTGAAGCTACGCATATCCTCACCCAGAAACTCAGCAGGTCCTCTCCAAGAGGACCGAGTGCACACGCCCACCAAAGGCTTGCACTGGAACGTTCTCAGAAGCTTTATTTGTAATAACAAAACACTGGTAACCCAAATGTCCATTAGTAGTTGTAAATAAACTGTCCTGTGATGAGCTGCTATGTAGCAACAGTGTTGCAGCAAAGTGTGTTACAGCTCAGTGTTACAGCTCAGTTGCAACAACAACCTGGATCCGGGAGAGAAACCAAGCAGCAAAGAGTTGGAGAACTCAGGTTTATTATGCCCGCAAGCCCAGAGGAGTACACTGCAAGCTCCAGACCCCATCTGTCCGTTTACACAGACTTTTATAGGCTGCCAGTCAACCCTTTGCAACATCATAAGGTGTAACAAAGTTGACAAATTAGGAAGGAGCTTTGTAGAAATGGACCAATCAGGTGTGATAGAAATGGACCAATCAGGAGTTAGCTCAGGGAACCAACAGAATCTTAGGGCTAGGTTCAGCTTTCCTAGAAGCAAGCGATTTCAGAGGCAAAAAGAGAGATAATGACGCGGGGCCAGGGAACCAGATGATGCTGACAGGAGAGTAGTGGCCCCGCCTGGGGGTCCTGCAGGTCTTTCTCATGGGGCTTCCCACCTCAACAGGAAATTCAGGCAGACCTCGGAGATACTGTGCCTGTTCCTTTCCAGGCCACCGCAAGGTTTCTTGGTTTCCAAGTGCATGCTGAAGTCATGTTTGCAATATACTGTACTTTATTAAGTTTGTAATAGCACCATGTCCTTTAAAAAAGTACATATATTTAAAATGCTTCATTGCTAAAAAAATGCTAACCATCATCTGACAATGCAGTTGCCACGAAACTTCCATATGTTAAAAAAAATACAATATCTGTGAAGTGCAATAAAATAAATTATGCCTGTAATTACAGACAAATGAAAACAACCTGGTAAATATCACAGATGCTGTTAAATCAGGCACAAAAAGAGGACACTGGATGATTCAATTTATTTTTAATGTTTAGAACAATGTTTTTTTTTTCCCACAAGATCATGCAATCATGTATTTTTATTTTATTTATTTATTTACTTATTTTTATTGAAGTATAGTCAGTTTACAGTGTGTCAATTTCTGGTGTACAGCATAATAAATGATTCAATTTATATGAGATTTGCAATACAACTTCAATATCCTGTCCACCAGAACTTGACACAACATTGTAAACTGACTACTTCAATTAAAAAAAAAGAAAAATTAATTAATTAAGACAATACAAGTTTAAAACAAGCAAGTTGTCTTCTACCTTTAGAAAAGTAATTTAGCAATATGAACCAAGAATCTTAAAAATATTTATTACTTTTTGTTTAATTGAAGTATAGTCAGTTATAAAGTGTCAATTTCTGGTGTATATACAATGTCCCAGTCATGCATATACATACATATATTAGTTTTCATACTTTTTCATTAAAGGTTATTATGAGATATTGAATACAGTTCCCTGTGCTATACAGAAGAAATGTGTTTCTTTAATCTATTTTTATATAGAGTGGCTAACATTTGCACATCTCAAAACTGCCAAATTTATCACTTCCCACCCCCTCTTCCCCGGTAACCATAGATTGTTTACTAAAAATATTTATTGCTTCTGATTCTAATCCTTTTCTAAAAGTCTATCCTAAGGAAAGTCTCAGAAGTATGAAAAAAACTCTTGTACAAACCTTTCATTGAAGTATCATTGATGATACCAAAAAAAATGGAAGCAACCTAAATGTCCAACAGCAGAGAATGGTTAAATAAAGTCACATCCATACAACAGAATATTATGCAGAGTATCTATAAAAAGGTTTTATAATATCAGAAATGCTTATAATCTAATTTTAGTGGAACTTTAATGTGAAGAACTGTAAATATGTATATGTAATAAGAAATAGCTAAGAAAATAAAATGGTGGATTGAGGATGACTATTTTCTTCAAACACGTGTAATCACCAAGGGGGAAAGGGTGTATCTTTTTTTAAAGCAGTAACAGGTTAGTGATATTTTATGTTAAATTGTTTATTATTAAATGCATCCCTATTTGTTACAATTACAATATTCGATTTCCAGTTGATTGCTTAACATAACACATCACTTGGAAATTCTTTCTCTTTCCATTTTCTTGGACTAGACTTGGAAGTCATTGGGCATTATTAATAAGTATCAGAACCCCACACCTACCCAGATGTCAAGCGTTTAATCTTCATTCCCTCGATTCCAAAAAGGCAAGGATTATCACAAACTTGGAAGCAAGAAGCAAAGGTTTAGGAAAGCAAGGATTTTACTCCAGGCTAGTGTTAAGGAACAAAATTAAACTGAGTAAATTTTGACTATTTTAATGACTTTATTCAATGATTCAAGCAGCATCGAACCTAACAGCTGTAAAGCAGCTCCAAGGAGTGGAAACAAGGAAGTTAGACTAGCAAAAAAGTGGGTTGGCTGTACCAAGATCATTTTTCTATAGAGTATGGGGTCCCCTATCAGCCAAGTAACTTAACCAGGGCCGATTGAGTGATTCCTGATTGGTTTAACATTACATTTCTGGGAGAGACAAAACTATAATTAAGTCTAGGTGATGTGGGGCTTAGCATAAATGACTTCATCTTGGACATATTTTCTTGGTTTTATCAATTCCCTCCTGATCAGACTCTGAGCCTAACTGAGAGATGTGATAATAATGTAAGGCATTGGTGCTGCCCGCAGCTACCGCTCTGAAGTTCTCTAAGTTTTCGCTGAATCTCTCTGTGGTGTTTACAGGTCACAGTGTCGGGTATACATTCTTTCAGTTGGTCATTCTTTTCATTTCTTTTCTGATGTTCTAGTCTGAAGGAGATCATCTGCTTGGTGGTTAGTGGCTGTAAGCAAGTATTTAAAGATTTTGAGAGACTGCCAAGCACCAGGGAGACTTACGATTATCATAAGCAGGACAATTCCCAGTATCTGGCTTGCACTTTGGAGCCATGGTCCCCAAGACCAAATGAGTTAGAATCAAATAAGTCAAAGAAAGACCCTATTGAAAGAGTCACTTTCTTAAAACAACTGGCTAGTTCAGTGATCTTATGTAGCTGAGTCAACTTCCCCAGAAGTGGCAAACCAAATCCAGCAAGTGATTTTAGCTACAATATAGCACGATCACCTCCTTGCTTAGTTAAAAGATAATGAAAGGTTATCCTATTATCAAAAACGACTTCAGCCAGAGAGTCTAGGGATTTTTGCTGGGCAGCTATTGCTTTAACAGCAGATTCTTCAGCATCTTCAAGAGCTAAGTAGAGGTTCCTGATCATAGCTTTAGTTTGCACCTACTGCTAGCCAGGGGACTAAGGACCTGTCCAAGGAAGCGAATTTTGAATTACGAATGCCTCCTGGTAATTCCCATTTGGATCTGTGGCTCAGGACTGGAAAGGTGATAGCAAAGGGGCTCAGTAGAATTTGAGGGTCTGGAAACTACACAGGCAGTTTTCTTAATCCACTCTGATGGTCTCTGTCTTGTAACTGATGTATTTAGACCATACTTAAAGTGACTGATTATTAAAGACATTGCTGGATTAATAGATACCATATTTGTAACTGTTTTGTATCCTTTGCTCTTGTGCTATCTTTTTCATCTCCCACTCTTTTAAATTATTTTTGCCCCTCTGGTTTTGTTTGTTTGTTTGTTTATTTGTTTGATTTACAATGTTGTATTAGTTTCTGGTGTACAACATAGTGATTCAGTTATACATATTTAATAGTTCATTTATATGAATTCATTTTTTTCCTCCTCTTTTAACCTATCAATTGTAGTTCTGTTTGCTTTGGGTTTTTTGGAGAGGGAGGTAATTAGATTTATTTGTTTGTTTCTTTGTTTGCTTGTTTATTTTTAGAGGGGGTACTGGGGATTGAACCCAGGACCTTGTGCATGCTAAGCACGAGCTCGTCCACTTGAGCTATATATATCCTCCTCCCCACTGTATTTCTTATTTAAATTTTTAAATGGTTTCCCTAGAATTAACAATCTAAATTTACAGCTAACCTAAGTTCATTATCAAGTAATACTGCATTTCCTCATGGTTAGTGTGAGTACCTTATAACAGCGTTTTCCCTGTTCTTCTCTTCTATCCCTTCTGTCATACATTTCACTTATCCATAAACTATTTTCACCAAATTTATTTTTGCAAGTATTATTTTGCCCAAAATAAATCTTTTTAGGTCAATTAAGAATCAGAAAAGTAAAAACTAAATTTAGTAAAGTAAATTAACTTCAGCATTAGTTTAGTATTTAGTTTTTAGTACTAGTTTAGTATTTAGCATTAATTTAGTATTTAGTAAAAACCAAATGTACTAAACACATATTTAGTAAAACTAAGTATTTTCTTTCACTGTCATTTATACCTTCTCTAACACTCTTCCTTTCTTTATGTAGACCCAAGTTTCTGCCTACATCATTTTCTTTCTCTAAAGAACTTCCTTTAACATTTTTTGCAAGACAGGT